CCCCCCCCCCCCCAACAAACCCCTCCTCCCCCCCGGGGGCCCGCGCCGTTATTTATAAATCATTAACTCTAAAAGGCACAAAATCCGCCACTTATTTACCACCACCACCGATCATCCGCCTACTGAAAATAACAACTAAACCACCCGAGCACACCCATAATCAGCGATGTCACAACCCGTTGGTTCCATCCTTCTACACTCAGGAAGCGTCTCCTGACGACCAAAAACCACCGATTGCTGTGAACGACACATTCCCGAGCATAACCATTTGCATCTAATGCAGAATCCAAGATTAGGGTTGAATTTAATTGGAAATTAATTCCCACAATTATGTCGATGAATTGGATATTTATGTGTGATCTGTATGTGTGCGAGTCAGTACGTTTAGTTTGTAATTTGCCACTAATTTGGTAGATAGTTGAACTTCAATTTGTGGATTTTTTAATTTTTTTTTATGTTTGGTTTACCAAGTGTATGACTGGAAGTCTGAAATTGAAGCTATTTTTCTCCTTGCGTTGGTTTAATTAGGCTGCAATTGTTTTAATAGGAATGTTTGAAAGTTCTCTATGATTAGTCTGTGTGTGCGTGTGCGCACACTTTTTTGTGGGTGTTTAACAACATTCATTAGGAAAACTGTTGGCTTGCTAATTCTTTTGCAGAAAGAGAAAATAACTGAATCTGAGATTACTGGGGACAAAGAGTGAAGGACGCTGATAATAGGGAAAGATGCTTCAGATACGGCTTAGCAAGGTTCCATCCTCAGAATTTGGTGGAGGGGCAAAGCCATTGACAGTGGACAGTGTGACAGTTGCATGTCCTGAACACCTTGTCCTTGCTGATCTTCCTGTAGCCAAGAGCGTTGGTTCTGCAACTGCTGCTTCCCTTGTCAAGACTGTAGGTCGCAGGTCCCGTCGCCAACTTGGTGAGCGAGTTCATTTTTGTGTCCGATGTGATTTTCCCATCGCCATATATGGACGTCTGGTACGTGTTTAACATTGCTATCTCTTCCCTGCCATGCTTTAGCCTGTGTTAATGAAGTTTTCTTTCTTCTTTCAAAGCTTAAGCATGTTTTGCAATCCGACTTTTAGGAAAAGAAGAGAATAATATACAAGTGGTAACTGTGGAATAGGATTTTGAATGTTTTCTATTTATATCAAGTATTCAAGCTTACTTGTGTGGGTTGTGTTCGAGCACGTTTCATTGTGGAATGACTAATTTAATAAGGAGAAGCTTTTTTGCTTAATTGTTCCTATCCTGTCTTTCTATACACAGACACTCACACTTGCCAATGAACCTAGATGCAGATGCATCCCCCACCACCCACGCACACTTGAGGAGGGGGTTAATCTCTGTTTTGTAGGTCTGTTAAGATGCTCCCTCCTACTTGAACGTGCATTCAAAATCTCTTTCAAGATCTCTACATGTGTCTCATTTTTCAAATTCATTTAGTTACTCTGATTTGTTTTGTTGTCCTTTTTCCTCCTTTTGGGATTAGAATTGAGTTCAAGTGGATGTTCTTTAATACTGATAGAGTGAACTCCTATAAGCTTTTTATCTGTTCAGACCATCTTTTGTTTCCGTAGCGGTTGTTGCTACAGACAAATACATTCTGGATTCATCATAGCCGGTTTCATTTTTTGAATGTTGATAAGTTTATGTTCTTGCAGAGCCCTTGTGAGCATGCATTCTGTCTGGATTGTGCCAGGAGTGATTCCATCTGCTATCTGTAAGGCTTATTCGCGCTTACTTTGGATTGTGATATGCATTTTGTTCGTAGATTTTAAATATCATACTTTCTTACATGAATAATTCCACCATTTGGTCATGTTTGCAAGTTAGGAATGTTTGCTGGGGGGAAATATCACTCCTCCAAGGTGCTGTGAAAATTGTTAAAATAAATAGCCAAAAAAATGGAACATTTCCATTGTTGTTAATAAAACATTACAAGGTTCTTTTCAGAACATTTGTCGAAATTGATTTGTACAAAGAATATAAGCAAAACCTTCCAAGACTTGGGTAGAGCTTTCCATATCTCAAGTTCCTACCATACTAGCATTATGGTGGGAATGTTACCTTTTACCCTTATATTTTCAATCTAAGTTGTATATGTTTTGCTGCTAATCTTTGTCGTAAGACCATCTCCAATGGAGATCCATACCCTTACCCAAATTTGAATAAAAAAAAGGTAAAAAACTTGATTTCGTATAGACCTCTTCAAAGTAGAAACTCAAATCTAAAGAAAAAAAAACTCAAATTTAAATAAGGACAAATCCAAATTTAAAAGAAGGTAAAATATGACTACTAAATCTCTAAAGGAGGGTGAAATATCAACATTAAATATTTGAGTATTTATTTGAGTCTCTCTTAATTTAAGTAAAAAAATGAGTATTTATTTGAATCTCTCTTGATTTAAATAAAAAAATGAGTCTTCCTTGATTTGATATGAGTATAGGTCTAGTATTGGAGAAGGTTTTTAAGAGTTTTATACCCAAATTTAAATTTGGGTTTAAAAAAAAAAGTAAGGATTGGATATGCTGTAAGACCATAGCTATTCAATGCAGATTGCAAATGATATAACATGGTAGGATAAATTCATCTGGTCACACTAATGGGTTTAATGATGAGTAAAATTACCATATTAGCAATATTTTTTGGCTATTTATTACCCTCACATGCTATGAGCGCATGTTTCACTCACATGTTGCGTGAATATTTAATCCATTTTTTTTTGTAGTTTTATGTGATATCTCTATTCTTAACGTCTTAGTTGGAAACTTATAAAACTGGCCTTCTTGTCAAGTACTATTAAAGCTGCCCCCCAACAGGGGTAGTTAGAGGATCAAGTTCCAGTAGTTTTCAAATTATGTAAATTATCACAAGGATAAATATACATGACAATTAAATCTTTTTTTGGTCATCTGCTGTGAATTTTTAGACTGAAAGATTATAGTAATCAATAATACTGATTTTTTTTATGCACAACTTGTAGCAAACGTACGTAATTATTATTATTGCTCTTAGATTCTGAATTCTCTCTTCTTTAGTAAAACTTTTATTGCCTTTTTTTCTGTTATTAGTAAATCTCAAGGACAACTTTAACGTGATTAGTCTTAACAATTATATATTCTCTCACACTATAAGATAGTCTTAATTATTGTTAATTACATGTTAACACGTGTTTATTGTTTAGTAGTAGACACAACCTAAAGAACTAAAGAAGTGTTGGACATGTTACCACACGAATGTTGGTTACATGCCTGAAATTAAAATTTTGTCGTTTAATTGTGGACATGGATAAAAAAGTATGGAACACGTATTCGTGAGTGTACGAGGAGTGTCGGTGTCCAACACGAATACGTCACCTTTATAAGAGTGTCCATGCTTCTTACACAAAGCAGAATGGCTACAAAGGATTTTTGTAGCCGACCTCCGATAATTAAGGCAAAGTTTGGTTTGGTTTGGTTTAATAAGCAGTTTGCTTTAATAAGCAGTTTGCTTTTGTAGTATCTCTNATCGGCAGACAATTCTTAGGCGATTATTTCTGGATGAGTTCCGACGCCTTGTTTCAACACTTCTTTGGATGGATGAATTTTTAAAACAATGAACACAGGGCAATGAATCAATAAAAGAACATTTTTTTGTTAATTTAACCAAATGAGTTTTCAGAGAAATTGATTTAACAACCTTTAATTACAACACTAACTATTTCTTAAAATTAACTTTAACACTATTCTTAAATGTTCTGATTGTAGGTTTAGTGGGAGGTTTGACTTGTTCTTCAATTTCTTTCTTTTTCTCTTTTTATAGTCACTTTCTTTGACGATGTTCCTTTACCGATAATTGATTGACTTTGGAATTCTTAGACAATTATTCTTTCTTTTAAACTAAAGTTGTGACCGATTGTTTCTCAATTTTTTTTGGATCTTGTCACGTGATAATCTTGTATACTCCATTTGGTAGGAAGGATGAAAAGTAGAAGGGATATATTTTTTTATCTTTTAAGGATGGAAAGTAGAAATGATACACTTTTTTTCATTTGTGTTTAGTTGGAGGATGAAAAATAAAAATAACTAATTTTTTTTATACTGGCTAAGATTAGGGGTGACAATAGAGTTGTGTCAAGTCAGATTCGTGTTGAGTCATAAAATTATAAGTCTTTTATATTTCTTGTTCGCGTATCAGGTCATTTTCAAGCTCATGTCGAGTTATAATCAAATTCGTGTCAAGTTCAAATCGTGTCATCGTGTTGAGTCGAACATTTTCACCCCTAGTTAAGATAAAAAAAAATATTTTTTTAATTTAAAATTTTTATTTTTATATATATACATATTTTATTTTTATATTTTTATATGAAATTAATGTATACATAACATATAAACAAATAAGATACATTTCAACACAAATAATTAACTTTTCATTCATTTTCCTTCCAATTTTAGAGAGATTAATTTTAGTGAGTTAAAGAAAGTTAATTCATCTACTTTTCCATCGTTCCTATTTTCCTTTCTTACCAAACATGATATTTCATTTATCTTTCCAACTTTCTATCATTCTATTTTTTCATCATACCAAACGGAGCATTAATAATTCTAGGGTTGTCAATAACACATGCATCGAATGTTTTTATAATTTCATATTTTAAGTCCAAACAATTATAGAACATGTATGTCACTTAATCCATTTAATTCTCGATTCAGAAAGACATTTGAAGAAATTTCACACTTAGTTGATGAATATAACTTTAAAGTCATCTTAACCCAAGTCATCAAATAAATGACTTAAACCCGAATGAATTTAACTCAAATCTGATCAAACATGAGTTTGCACAATTTTTTAAGTTTATTTAGAAAAACGAGTCTAAAAAATTTGGTTCAAGTTTACAAAATTTGACTCGTTCATATGTAAAATAGTTGAGATACACACGCTTGGGCTCGACTAGAGCTCTAAACAAGTCGATCATAAACTATTTTTCAGACTCATTTGAAAAAAAAAAGTTCGTCGAGCTCTGCCAGAAATTTGCAAAGTTTAATTCAATTAACATCTCTACTCTTCATAGTGAGTCACTAAAGGACACTTGTACGTGACATTTGTGTGCACCATTACTATAAAAAAAGAAATATTGATATAAAAATATGCAAAAAAAAATATTATGAATAATTAAATTGAAGGGGTAGCTCAAGTGATAAAAAAGACAAACGATAAACTCAAACATTTTAAATTCAAAATTTGGTGATCCTTTGAAACCAAGTCATAAAGGATAAACATGACTACCCTAATCCAGCCTGATTGACTTGTTTTTAATCAAATCAGAGATTGAATTAATCAAAATACGTGTAAATTAACGTGAATTCCCTAACGGTTAGATACAAAACACATATATATTTTCCAACGCAAATATAGGCTATAGATAACAAAGTTGGGCTGACCCAGATAATTTCTGACCAAAAATCCTACCCGGGGGCCCTTCCCCGACCCGCTCCCTCCTCGTGTGCACCTA